CACGGTGCCCCCTAAAGCTTCTGCTTTGAAGGAGTTTCTGTCTCTTCCACTCACGTTTATTGGCCAAACCACATCCTCTGGTCAAGCCTGACATCAATAGGATGGGAATGGACACTCTTCTCACTGGAGGGGCTCTGCAGGCCGCCAGGCAGTGGACAGGATGTACCATGCTCTTGCAGGGAAGCAGGGGAGGGAGTGGATTAGCAAATGATTGGAGATAATACTACAGTCTACCGTGGGGAGAAACCCCATTTCTGTGTAACAGGGACTGACTACTATATGTAGAAAGGTAAGATAGCATAGTTGTTGAAAGCTTGGGCTTTTGAGATCAGATCACTTACTGACCTGACCAAATTACGTCATCTGTTTAAGCCTCAGTGTCCACATCTGTAAAATGTGTAAATGTCACTACCTCACAAGTTTGTTAATAAAGATTAAATGAGCAGTTGCAGGTCAACACTGGGCACAGGGTACGGCAATGGGAGGGGCTTAGTAAACAGTGTTCTGTGAGAGGACTCGTTCTGGAGCATTCTCAGCAACGAGGTATTTGGCATTTAATGTGATAGCAGATGTGGCAAGGGCCATACCACTGAAAGATGCCGAGGCAGGCAGGAGAGTGATGGGATGAGATAGGGGAAGGATAAAGAGCAGAGACTGTAAAGCTGAGGTACTGGACAAATGGGGGCTGGGGAGGGGGCTTGGCAACTCAGTGGAGGCAGAGAATCTTAGGTGGGGCTTCAAACTCAGTGAAGGTTTCTGAATGATTTCAGACAGGGGGTTGAGGAAGGTGAGATCCCAGACCCCTGTGTCCTCCCAAGCTCATTCAGTCAGCCTCTTCGCAATGCTTGTTCCCAGGAGACCACACCAGCAGCGAGGCAGCCTGGAACCATTCTGGTGCACCTGAAGGGCCTCCAGGGAATGGTACTGCTGGGAAGCTGTAGCATCTTAGCATACATACCCAGCAGGTGGCCGAGGAAGAGGCTCAGACCTTGGGGGTTCTAAACACTGTGAGCCAGTGGCATTTATCTTATCAGAGCCTGAGCTGCTGGCTGTTTGCTTTCAGCTCAGAAGCTTCCTGGTGGATTTCCTCCTCCTTTTAAAATTTTGTTTCCGAGCCTACATGAGGTCACTGCAGGGAAAGAAACCCCTGGCTGTGAGGCTTATCCCTCCAGGGCCTGAGGCCAGAGATAATGGGGCTGCAGTGGAGAGGAGAAATGTGCTTCAGTCTCTTAACTGCTTACCCTCTGCAGCTTCCTTTCTCCTCTCCAGTGCCGCCCGTGAGCCCCTGGAGCAGTGCTGCTTTTTTCTTTTTTTTAAATATTTATTTATTTGGCTGTGCTGGGTCTTAGTCGCGGCACAGGGTATCTTCGTCGCAGCGTGCAGGATCTTTTTTTTCAGTTGTGACATGCGTGCGGGATCTAGTTCCCTGACCAGGGATCAAACCTGGGCCCCCTGCAGTTGGGAGCTGTGGAGTCTTAGCCACTGGACCACCAGGGAAGTCCCTGGGGCAGTGCTTCTTAAAGTATGATCCGTATATCACCTGCAGTGGAGTCACCTGGAGGCCCCACCTTAACCCCGCTGAATACAGGGTCTAAATGTTGAACACCATGCTCTGCAAGAGAGGTTTGACCCTTAAAGGTGCCTCATTGCCCACAGGGAAGATCCTAAGGGCACTCGATTCCCAACGGGCCTTTCCAGACCCTCTCTCCCATCAACCCCAGACCCCTTGGAGTACTCTGAACACACTCTGTGCCTTTGCCACATGCTTTTTCTTTTCCCCATCGTAACTCTTAATCATCCTTTCAGACCCAGTTTAAATAGGCCTTCCTCTGTGGAAATGTGACTGCACACATTCCAGGCCCTTTGTGAAAACTTTATTTTGCTGTTATCTCATTTAATCATCACAGCAACCCTGGGAAGTAGGTCCATTTTAGAAATGGGGGAATCAGTACTCAGAGAATGAAACAATTCCTCTAAACCACACAGGCTAGTAAGGATCTTTGCTCTCTTTGCTTCCAGAGCCTGAGCTGTTCTATGCTGACTGCGCAGACCACATATTACAGAGACTCTCCTGCCTGTGGCTGTGACCTCCTCTCCGCCATGGCACAGCAGCTGTTTTAGGAAAGAGGGTGGGGCCTGTCTGGATTTCCCATCCAAGGAGGTCAGACTAGTCCCTCAGTCAGGCAAACCTTTATCCTTCTGGCCTTACTTTGGGGACTGGGCAGTGGTTTCTGTGCTGTCTCTGATACTTACCAATACTGTGTAACTCTGGCTTTTTCCCAAGACAGTCTTCTGTGCTTCTCTGCTTCCAGCTGCCACCTTCTCCCCTCACCCCCAGCCCACCCTGCATGTCTTTCCAAATGAATGATCCTTTCTTCCATCTGACGTACACACAAAGCTCCCAGACACACAAAGCCGTTTGAACCATGACAGCAACACTAATAATCAGCAGGTATATAGTGCTTGGATGGTGCCAGGTGTTGATCTGAGGGTTTTCATTTATTAATTATATCTTTATAATAACCTTACGAAGTAGATGCTGTTGTGCTTGTCATTTCACAGATAAAAAAACTGAAAGACAGAGAACTTCAATAACTTAACCAAGGCTGCACACGGGAGAGCTGGGACTTGAACCAGGAGGCCAATTCTAGCATGAATTGAGCACCTCCCCTTTCTGTGTCCGGCTCTGTGCTAGCCCCTGGGGATTCAGAGATGAGTTAGGCTGGGATCTTGCCCACAAGTTGCTCCAAGTGTAACCTGGAAAGAGTAGGAAGAAACATGCACACAGTGGAGTGATCAGGGCCATAGAGAGGAGTACAAAGGAGAGAGGAAGGAGGCCTGTCCAGGGATGGAAGAAGAGGAAAGGCTTTATAGAAGGAGCAGCATTTTATTTGGGTTTTGAAGGGTGGGTGGGAAATGGATGCAAAGAGATGAGGGAGAAGAGGGTATGAGACAGAGAGAACCTGGTGAGGTGAGTAAAGGCTTCATAGGGAGCTGTGAAGGTCTGGGTAGGACCAAGTGTCTTACTTACTGCATCTAGGCTGGAACAGAGGTGGAGGGGGACAGAGTGGGGATAGAGTGACAGGTAGATGGGGGTAGACCACATTGTGGGGAAACTGGAATGCTGTTTTAGGGATGCTGGACTTTATTTTGTAGGCAGTGGGGAGCCTTTGAAGAATTTTGAGTTGAGGTGGGGGGAAATTGGTGAGAACAGAGTGGAATTTTACAAAGATTACTCGGCAACAAGTGCTAAGTGGTGGAGAGTCGCTGTCATGAGGATTTGGTTAGGATTTTGGGTTTGTTCCACAGTCAGGTGAGAGGTGTCTGAATCAGGGCGGGTGCAGTAGGAACAGGGAGGAGTTGATACCTGTGTATGGAACTGGCAGCTCTAGGCAGCTCTTTGGGTGTGTGGGGTGAGGAGGTGTCAAAGATGTCTGCAGGGAGGTTTGGAGATGGGGGCAGGCATCGGAGGTGATGGGGAGGGAAGAGACATGGAGCTCTGTGGCCACCCACATTCTGGTAGCTCTTGATAGAATATACCAGCTCTCCTGGTGCCAGAGATGGACCAGACCTGGTTCCCACCCCAGAGAGCTCCCTGCTGCCTGACTCTCAGAATGCTTGTCTCTGGGCTGTGCGTGTTAGGTGCTCAGCAAACATTTTTGGGGAAGAGATGATCCCCCTTTTCAGAGAATTCTTAATCTGCCGGACAAGTCCCTGTTCCTTAGAACCTTAAAATCAAATAGAGAAGTGGCTGGAGCACTGTAGGAAAAACCTGAAGGATTTGTGGAGTAGAAATCAACCGCAAATACTCGTGAGTTTACACAGAAGGTCCTCTTCCATTAGAGTAAGGATGTTGTCTTGATGGAAAACAGGGAGTGGGTAGGCAGATTTGTGAGACTTTTGAGGTAGGGAAAACCTGTAGCTGGAGGGCACTGAGGCTGACCCTTCCCAGCATTTCTGTGGATTGGTCTTGAGGCCTGCGTCTGACTCCCCTGGTTGGCACCCCTTCCTGCAGGTGGCACCCCTCCCAATGTGGATCCCGAGGCTTACTCCTGGTTCCAGTCAGTGGACTCCGATCACAGTGGCTATATCTCCATCAAGGAGCTGAAGCAAGCCCTGGTCAACTCCAACTGGTCTTCGTTCAACGACGAGACATGCCTCATGATGATAAGTGAGTCCTAGCCTTCCTCATGGGCTCCGGCTGGGGCAGAGCCACCTCCTGTCTGACGGTAGGTGGGTGGGAGGCCATTCTAAGGAGAAATCTTTTGGCCAGGGAGGATTTCTCACAGGAAACTGGGTTCAAGGTGAGATCCCTTAGAGAGCTCTTTTCCTTAGATCTTTTCTCAAGTTCTAGACCTTGCTGAATCATAGGCCAGCTCAGTTTCTCATTCTGCAGAATGGGACTCCCTGTGGGTGGGAGATGGCAGGGAGGGGGTCAGCTACCAAGCCTGCGGAGAAGATGCAGTTCTGGCAGGGGTGGAGGCTGGTATAGTACTTGATGAGGGTGCATCTTGGGTACCGGCATCTGGGCCTCAGGCCTCTGGTTCTGTGGAGTGTCCTACTCCAGCCTGGGGAGAAGGGAGCCTCAGTGGTATCTGAGGACCCTTGGCCCTTAGTCTTGAAGCCTTCTTTCCCTCCCCCACCCAAGACATGTTTGACAAGACCAAGTCAGGCCACATTGATGTCTACGGTTTCTCAGCCCTGTGGAAGTGCATCCAGCAGTGGAAGAACCTCTTCCAGCAGTATGACCGGGACTGCTCGGGCTCCATTAGCTACACAGAGCTGCAGCAAGGTGAGGGCCTGCCAGGGACTCAGTGCACAGGCACAGCTGGATGTTTCTCTTTAACCCCTAAGACAGAGCAAGGGGTTCTCTCTAGCCTCTGGCTACCACGTGTCCAACTGCACTGCAAAATGCTGCCCTCAGCACAGGCCCTCTCCCCACCCCTTCTGTGACCTGGCTGGGCCGTGAGCCCAGTCCAAGGCAGGGAAACGATCAGGGCTGGACTCTCCTGCGATGGGATTCCTGGCAGCACTAGGTGAGACAGGCGCAGCTGTCAGGGAGCCTTGGGGATGGAAACTCAGCAGCCGAGGGCACTTTGAGACTGGTACATGTGGCTCGTGTGGCTCTTTCCTCTCTCGTGTCTAGCATGCAGAATGGAAAGAGCCCTGTAGAGGGGCTCAGAAAGGTGGCTTCTGTTGCTAGCCCTACTAGAAGGCAATTTCATTCCCAGCTTTGGGACCCAGACCACTCTAAAAGTTGTAGTTGGGTAAGATGACCTGAGGCCACAGCTCCAAGGCTGGTTCCAATTCTGACTCCAGAGGATGGTTGGTTAGTGCGGGGATGAGAACTGGACAGGGAGCTTTCCCACCTGAGAGGGAGAAAGGGCTCCCCACAGAACCCAGCCCCTCGCCCTGGCCATGGATTTCAATCAGACTAAGGAGCCTGGGTGCGGGAGCAGGGGTACGGGGAGCTCCCTCGTGGAAGGGAAAGGAGGTGACCTGTTCTGAGCACCTACTCTGTTGTCAGGTAATGGTCCAGTGATGGATATTTGTAAGGGTGATATTATCACAGCAAAGCTAATATTTTTTGAATGCTTGTGATGGGCCAGGTACTGTAATAAGCTTTTTTCATATATTACATCATTCTTTCTCCCCATGTGATAGGTACTGCTGCTTATTCCCCACCCTTAGATGAAGGATCTCTTATTATTACCCTTTTGCAGATGAGAAAACTGAGGCTTAGTCTAGGTGACTTGCCCAGGGGCCACATAGCAAAAGGGGAGCTGAGACTTTAGCCTGAGCTGGTAGATTATACAGACAGGAAGAAGGAGGCATCCCAGGTGGAGGGACAGGAGGAGCAGCGTGGAGGCTGTGAGCTTGGAACTGCCCAGCAGCCCCGCCGGGGGAGATGGTGATGAGTTTATTACTTTTAGCAAATAACACTTACTGGGTGCTTATTATGTGCCAGGCACTACACCAAATCCATTGCATGATCACCTCCTTTAATCCTTACTAGAACCTACAAGGTAAGTATCATCCCAATTTTAGAGATGATAAGACAGAGGATTAGCAAGGGTTAATAAGCAACTTGCAGAGGGGCTATCTCGACTCCAGAGCAGGCCCTCATAGCCTCATGCTGAGCCACCTCTGATGTGTGTCTGCTCGGGGCAGGGTGACCTGAGGGGGCTCAGGCTTCTATCTGTAATAGACACGAGTCAGAGATGAGCATGGACAGACTGGTGTCATTCTGGGACCCTGCGGGCACCTAATTGAACAGACAACAGAGACTTTGAGAAAGAGGGATGGGGGCCTTCCAGCTCAGGGGAGCATCCAGAGCCCTTGTTGTGCTCCTGCCATTTTGGACAGCCCCTTGGGACATCTGTCCTGTTTCTGCTTTGGTGCCAGTCCCCTTGAAGTTCCTGAGCTGCTGTACTCCATGGAGCTGGTTGATGGCTGTGCTCACGGCAGTTTTTTGTGTCTGCTCTGTGTGCCCCTCCTCTCCAGCTCTGTCCCAGATGGGCTACAATCTGAGCCCCCAGTTCACCCAGCTCCTGGTCTCCCGCTACTGCCCGCGCTCTGCCAGTCCTGCCATGCAGCTAGATTGCTTCATCCAGGTGTGCACCCAGCTGCAGGTGCTGACCGAGGCCTTCCGGGAGAAGGACACAGCTGTGCAGGGCAACATTCGGCTCAGCTTCGAGGACTTCGTCACCATGACAGCTTCTCGGATGCTATGACCAGCCCATCTGTAAAGTGGGGAGTGCACCAAGGGACTTTTCCTGGCTCCTAGGGTGGGAGAAGCATGTGGGCCTCTCTTCATTTCCTGCCCTTCCTAGAAAAAGAATTCTCCCTTGCCTGATTCAGCATTGTTCCCAAAGAGGGCTGGGAGTCTGCGTCATAGCCACCAGGTAGTGGGGACCTGGGCTGAGGCCACACAGGTAGGGGCCTGACCTAGGAGAGGACTGGAAATTGAATGTCCTTTTACATCCCTGAGTATTTAAATGGCACAGCCTTGCGCCAGGTGCAAGAGATGCTGGTCATTGCAATGGAGTTAGTGTCCAGTCAGCTGACTCCAGACTCTAGCTTTTCCTTCTATGCCCTGACGCCAGCGGTAAGTGTTCATCAGCCTCTTAACCATTAGCACCTGCGTTCCCTTACCCATGCTGTCTTATCAGATGAACCCAGTTTCTCCAAAATGGAATCTGACCAGGGTGAGAGATTGGCCCATGGGACCAGTGGCTTGGATTCCACCCGCCACAAGTCCGTGTGTGTTGACTTCTAGCTGCCTGCTCAGGGAGCTTGGGCAGTCTGCTCTCTGGGCATCTTTGGCCAGGCTACCCCTCTGCAGCTTGGACTCCTCATAGTTGCCTGCCATCCTCTGCTTGGCTTCAGTCCCCAGGGGACAAGTTGCTACCTCCCACTGCCAATGCTTTTTTTTTTTTTTATTATTTGTGGTTGTTTTCATTTGGGGCCAAAAGTTTGGTGCAACTGTAAGCTTCAATACAAGAATAAAACTCTGGAGTTCCACCACACCTTCCCAGTTACAGGTTCATATGCTTATCCATTCAGTCACTCATTTATTCTTTCATTCAATGAATATTTAAGTACATAGTATAAACCACGCCATGCAGAAAGAGACAGCTCAGGAGGACATGCCTCCACAGGGCTGCTCTCACTCACTGGGGCGAAGTCAAGTGTAACTGAACTGCAGGTTAAGTCTAACCTTGCCAGGTTCAGTCCAGGAAGCTGACCGTGTGTTTTTTTTTGCGTTATGCGGGCCTCTCACTGTTGTGGCCTCTCCCATTTGCGGAGCACAGGCTCCGGACGCGCAGGCTCAGCGGCCATGGCTCACGGGCCCAGCCGCTCCGCGGCATGTGGGATCTTCCCGAAACGGGGCACGAACCCGCGTCTCCTGCATCGGCAGGCGGACTCTCAAGCACTGCGCCACCAGGGAAGCCCTGACCGTGTGTTTTATAACAGTTTTAGGGCTGGCATTCTGGGCTAGAAGCAGCCACCCCAGACTTTCCACAGCCTGGCCTTTTTATTATCTCAAACCCTAGTTTTAATCTTCCAGACAAACTGCATTTATGAAGTCATAACTTTCTCCCTATTTTTATTAAGCGCAGACATCTGTACTTGCCAGCTGGATCTTCAGATCAGGTTGATAATCAGTCTATAGCAAATGTCCACAGTGATCTGACACAATTTCAATCCGAAGCCAAGACACCAGACGTTTTGGTTTGATTGGGGGACCTTATGATGGGTGACGGTGAGCTAAGCCTTTTGTTGTGGGGGATGAAGATAACAGGCTCTCCTCCCTGCTGTTCGCGGAAGCAGCTCCCTGAGGCCTGAGAGGGTGCGCGGTTCAGCCCCGGTTCTCCTGTGGGCTGCTGTCGTGCTAGAATCCTAGAGTTAGGTGGAATCCAGTTCCCAGAGGTCAGCCCCCATGCAGGGCTGGAACCCCTTCCATTACCCCACTTTGAGTCTGGCGTCTGCTTGCCAACCTCCAATGACAACTCACTGCCTTTCCAGGCAGCCCATTTCCTCCTGGACTCGTAGGGACTTCTTCCTGATGTGGATTCCAAATCCCATCACCTTGAAAACACTACCCATTGGCTAGGGTTTTCTCTCTTGGGCCACCCAGAACATACTCCACCCCTTCCTGCATGCCAGTCCTCTAGATAGCTGGAAGCTGCCACCACATTCCCCCAGGTCCTCCCTTCCCTAGGCCAGATAGTCCCAGGCTCTCCAGAAGCTGTTCACTGAGCTTCATTCCATGGCATCCTGGTCACCTGTGAGTTCATCTGAGTCCCCCAAAATAGAGGCCTGAGGCCCACCATGGTGCTGGGTTCAACCCGCAGAGAATAGAGTAGAGCTGCAGCCATTAGGGGAAGCTTGTGTTGTTTCTTTGCTCCCACTGAGCCAAGTGTTTACTGAAACCCGTGTCTAGAACAGTGTCAATCATACTCTGTCACCTTTGCGATCAGCTGGAGCTGAGGAACCCAGGACCTGGGTTCTTCCTTGTGGGCATGGTTGGTTCTGGGCTTGGGCAGCAGCCCTCACACCTCAGTCCACACACTGCCCCTCCAAGCCTGGCTACAAACTTGACAAACAGCTTTGGATCCTAAGGCTAGCCGGAGGGGAGTGGAGAATGGGCGGGACACCCTGCACCCTCTGGCAATAGCTGCACATCTGTGGCAGTGTTCACGTGAGCTGGTCTGGAGAGTCATCTAGAGAGCAGGATGACATGCTCAGACCACTCCCTCCACCTGCTCTGCCTACGAGGAGGGGTGCTAAAGCATTCCTGGGCTGGGCCCCTGGCAGGAGCTGCGGTTTGTGGTTTGCCCCACTTCTTGACGGGTGAGGTCATTAATCAGGTTAAGCAGACCCAGCGGTGCGCATGGCCGAGCTGGCCTCTGCCAGATGTCTCCCACTCGTCTCAGCAGAGAGTCCTTCAGACTGCTTCCCACCTCCTGCTCTGGCAGCAAGGATCAGGGCCTCTGGCAGCCCTCTAATCATCTTGGTGGCAGATGGAGTACGTCTAGCCCAGTCTCTGGCTTTCTCTTTTTAATCTGTGAGTTCATAGAAAATAAATGCAAGCCCTGATTTCCAAGAAGGTGAAGATGACAGTAAATCGGTCTGTTAACCCCGCTGTCTGCCCACCCTACCCCCCTTACCTTCCATAGACTGCTGGGCTCGTGAGCAGACAGATGTGGCCAGGATCGAGGTCCTGGCCTCAGAGGATCGGAGCCACGTGAGGCGGCAGGAGCACATGTGCTCTGAGACCTGCCCAGGAGCCATCTGGGATCCCGTGTGTTAGGGGATGAGAGGTGGGAGGGGTCAGCAGATAGCTGCATTCCAGCACTGTCTTCTCTCCTCCCCCAGCCTCCCCACCTTCTCACTCCTAACCTAAGAAGCACAGATTTTGTGCAATGACAAGGAAAGGGAACATTCAGTGCCAGGCTTTTAATTACAGTTGCTTCAGGCTGCTGGCCTCCATACCAAATGGCCTCATGGAGAGTGTTCTATCACTGCACAAACAACGGGGTCCAGTCTGTGGTGTGTGCACTTGGCACCTGGTGAGGGTGGGGCTCTGTTCCCACTGGGGAGGGGCTGGGCTCAGATTAGTTCACATGGGCCTCAAGGAGTGCTGCCAAGTGCAGCCCGGGCTTTAGAGCCCCTGGACCAGATGGAAATGCCTGCTGGGACCCTTATAGCAGACTCCAGGGAAGACCTATGATTGGGTAGGAGAGGGGTCTTTGGGAGGAGGGCCAAGCTCTGGAAGGATGATAGTGATGGATGGTACTGTGCGGTATAGCCAAGTGAGAGGAACACAGCGTTAATCTTGTCCATGACACTTTACAGTTTACACAGAGCTTTCCACTTTCTTGAGCATGCTTAATCCTCACATCAATCCGCTTAGGGGACGCAGCTCAGAGGAGGGAAGTGACACTGCCCAGAGTTAAACAGGCAGAAAACGAGGCGAGGAGCCCCGGCCTCGCACTGCAACCAGCAGTCTTTCCATGAGGAGTGGGGGCAGGTCCCCCAGTAGCCAGAGGAGCAGCCCAGGCAGAGGATAGGTTGCACCCCCTTTTGCCACCAAGATGTCCCTCGCTCAGGGCAGCACCGTGGTGACACTGGTGAGCACCACGTGCTCCGAGACTTTGGAGACGGAGCACCGGCTCTGCAAGGACAAGGACTTGTGGCTGGCAGAGGAGCGTGGGCTGGGGGCCTTCAGAGAGCCGCAGGGACCCAGGCCAGGCAGGCAGCAGGAGAAGGCGGCCTTAAACTGCTCCCGGAATTTGCCTTGGTTGAGAGACAGAAGACACAGGCATAAGGAGAGAGAAGCAGCAGGAAGGGACCTTGGGCCCAGGGACACCCACGCAGCTCCAGCCAAGCTGCCTGTGAGGGAGTGGGAGGGAAGGGTAGAGCTGGGCAGGAGAGAGCCCCAAGGCGACCTCGTCACTGCCAGGGAGAGTGAGGACAGAGGCCCTGGAGCAGGTTCCCAAGGAGAAATGCAATTTTCATCTGATTCCTTGACTGCGCTCTGGCTCTGAGCCTGGCTGAAAACGTTTTGTCTGGCTCAGGGAGCTTAGGTCACCTCTGCCCTCGTTGGCGGGTAGGTGGAGGGGCTCACGGCTCACCATCTGTGGCTAGGCTTTCCCCATCTCTTCCCCATGGTGATGAAAATGACAGCGGCAGCAGCCCTTGCACAAGGCACTGTGCCGGGCACCTGAGTTTGTCGCCCAGCTCACCCCAGCACCCTGAAGGCCTGGAGTCCTTTAGCCTCACTCCACAGAGGCACACAGAGGTGAGGTGGCTTGCCCAAGGTCACCAGCCAGAATTTGGGCCCTGTTCTAATTCCAAAGCCTTCGCTTAAAGGGTAGGGAACAGTGGGGAAGGAGGGATCACCACAGCCACCTGTACAGTCAGAGGACACCAGGCAACAGATTGTGCTGGAACTGAACAACCTTGTTTCAATCACCCCGGAAGCCTGGCCGGTGCCCAGCAGAGGGCCAAGCACACAGCAGGCGCTCAGTAAATGTAGACCAAATGAAGAAATGCACGTCAGGAAGTCTGCCTGATGTGTCCTCTGCCACTTGCTCGTCTCTTCTGTTCTCTCCTCTGAGCTGGAAACCACCCGGCTAGCCTCTGTTGAGTACTTCTTTAGTCTCAGTGAGGGTTACAGCATTGACCCCAGCCCCTTCTTTTTTTTTTTTCCGTTGTGGCCTCTCCCGTTGCGGAGCACAGGCTCCGGACGTGCAGGCCCAGCGGCCATGGCTCACGGGCCCAGCCGCTCCGCGGCACGTGGGATCTTCCCGGACCGGGGCACAAACAAAATCGGCAGGTGGACTCCCCACCACTGCGCCATCAGGGAAGCCCCCAGCCCCTTCTTTAACCTTTCAACCTTTTCTCAAAGATTGTCCAGGCTTGAGCAGTCATCTGGTCAGTTCTCTAGGCCTGGTCCGAGTCAGAGGTCTGGTGAGTCACACTCTGCTGAGCCCAGGGGGGGGCCCGGGGTGGGGCCTTTCCACCCTGAGACCGGGAGGTAGTGGAAGGGGGTGGGGGCTATGGGACAGTGGACAGAGGAGGCCTGGGCTGCGGGGCAGGGGACTAGGGATGCCTGGACTTGCAGAGGGGAGAGTGGGAGGGCTGGTGATGGAGGCAGGTGGATTCAGGGGTAGCCCCCCCAAATTCGGGCCACTCTGCCAGCACGTGTCTAGCTGGGCATGGGGAAGCTGTTTCCTGGCCCTGGGCTGCCTCGCTGGTGGCCCTCCCTTCCCCCTGATGCCTCGATTATGCAGTCATCTTTTCAGGCAGGGGCTCCATCTGGAGCCTGTGTTGACCAGACTGGCTGATTGGCAGTCCTGCTGTGCATGCATCAAGCAGGGGTGGAGGTGAGCTGGCCCAGCCCCTGCGCTCCCACCCACTCAGTGGTCTGCATAATCTGCAAAACTGGATCCTGGAGCTGGTCACCTTCTTTGGCCACTATTGGGAGTGTGGCCTGTCTCCCACTCAGACCAGGGCTCTTGGGCGGGGACAAGTCTTCCCCCTGAGTGGGAGTTCCCAGAGCAGGGTCATGATCCCCAGGAGGCAGCAGGTGTATCCTTCCCCACATGCTTTATTCAGCCTGGGTTGAAGATGGGGAGACTATTGTCCTGGGGACTGTTGCCACCCTCAGTCACTCTGCATCCCCAGCCCACTCACCACTGAGGAAGTTGTAGATGACGGGGTTGGCGGCGCTGTGGGCGTACACCAGCCAGTGGGAGAAGGTGAAGCAGGCATAGACGGCTTCTCGGTCGCTGGCTTGGTGGAACATCCCAAACACCCTAGGACCAGGGGGCAGGACACTCAGAAATGGGATAGGGTGTGTGTGTGTTTATGTTGGGCATGAGTAAAGCACAAGAGTCCCACTGCCCCTTCTGTCCACCAGGCAGCTCTTTTCTGGGCCTCTGAGTCTGGGGTCCTGACCACAGTTTGGGGTTCTTGGGCGCAGAAAGTATGACCAGAGTGGGCCTAGGAACAGGGACCAGGGTACCTCTGCTCAGTCACCAGCCGTGTGACCCCCTGGGGCTCCCCCTCCACTTTATCATCCATCCCCGTAGCAGCGTGATGAGTCATAGACATCATCCATTTTTCAGATAGGGAAACTGAGGTTCAGAGAAACAAAGTGATATGTCCAAGATCACACGGCCAGGAAGTGACCAAGCACAAACACACTGAGATTGTCTCATGGCAAAGAGCCCAGGGTCTTGCCCTGCCCCCCTCCCCACCCCCACCCCGTGGCCTCTCACTTGCTATTCTTCCAGACACCTCGGGGTGTGGTTGCTCCCTTCCTTCAAGTCTCTGCCAAATGTCACTTCCTCAGAGAGGCTTTTTTGTTCTTAACCATTACATCTAAAAAACATTTATTTTTAACCCCACCAACCTCTGTCACTGTCATTCTCTATCCCCTTTCCCTATTTTTTCTTCAAAGCAGTTATCACTGGCTGACATTGTAATACATGTCCATTCTCTCTCCCGTCAGATGTCGTCTCCACGAATGCAGGGCATTGTCCCGTGCACTCGTTCACTCTGTTCCCAGCCCTAACAACCTGATGACTGAGTGGCCAGACGAGAGAATTTTCACGAGAGCCCTAGGAGGCAGGCCGGTTATTATTCCCATTCTACAGATGAGGAGATTGAGGCTCAAAGAAGAGAAATTACTCCCACAAGGTCACACAGTGGATGAGCGGTGGAGCCAGATCTTTCTCTGAAGCAGAGAGAGCTCCTTCCTCTGACCCCACCACCTCTCCCCACCCCCCAACCACTCCCCACGTGCTCTCACCTCTTGAGGACATTGAGGACACTGATGGGCAGGTAGCAGAGGGCAAAGACCAGCAGCACCACCATCAGCATCTTGGCCGTCTTCCTCCGAGTTCGCATTTGCTTTACCTCGGCCAGGAAGGCACGGGCCCGAGGCGGGGGCTCTGCGCCCACGCCCTGCCCCTGGTCCTCCAGCTGGTCTGAGGGCCTCTTCCAGTTCCTCACCAGGGCCGACGTGGTGCCGGGGATCTGTCCAGCACACACAGACAGCAGCGGTGGGTACAGCTCCTTGGGAGGGTCGTTCTGCTTCGCTGGGCCTGCTCCAGGCTGGACCCTAGGGCAGGGGGAGGTGGGCAAGGGAACAAACCCTTGCAGCAGGAAGGAGCCTAATATTCATGATAAAGACCAACACTCTGGACTTGAGTGTACTTCCGTTTTCCATTAGCTCATCGTGAGACCACCCACAATATGTCTCTTGGGACGGTATTATTCACCCTTAGATGTAGATGAGGTAGGGGACCCTTGACAAGCCCCCAGGTCACAGCCTGGGGCCTGAACATCCTTCCAGCTACCCATCCATCTTCCTTAAATCACCACCTCCATCTGTGGCGACAGGGGTGGTTGGATGACTCGTGCCTCCCCTGGTCCGTGCCTGACTCTGGGATGCCTGAGCAAGGGGCGTCCAGGTGGACAGCATGGAATGGCCTGGGCCTCAGAGCATAGGTCCCAGCCTAGGTCAGTGCCGATAGGCCTATGGTGGTTCTAGGCACCTGGAGCAGCCACAGATATTCTCAAAGCCTCTCCCACACTGGACACCTGAATCACCCCACAACAGAAGGGCATGGGGCTAGAGTTCAGGAAACTTGGGATCTAGGGCCAGCTCAGCCATTCACGAGCTATGTGACCTTGGTAAACTCACTTTTCTTTCCTGAGCCTTGCTTTTCCTGTTGGATAAGGATAGCGACTCCTGCCTTGTGGACCGGGGCATTGTGAGGAGCAGATGGCGAGCGCTGGTGGAGCACGAGGCTGCTCGTGTTCCGGCCAGCCTGCTCTCCCTGCCCGGGCGCTGATCCAGGACTCACCCCGCTAGTGCCAAGGGCCTCTGAGCACTCCCTCCCACGGCAAACCGCCCCCCTCCAAAAAAAACCCCTGCTGTTGGTCAGTGTGTAACAGAGGAAAGAAGGAAGGCCCTGGAACCAGAAAGGCTCTGCCACTCATCAGCCGTGGCAGATTGGTTGCCCTTACTCAGCATTTGTAAAGTGGGTAATATTGCTTCTTTGGTTAGATAGTTGTGAAGACATTGCAAGCAAAGTGCCTAATTTGGACAGCAACACGGAGGTGTTATTGTTGTTGTGGCACTGAACCGAGCATTGGAACCCCACAGACCTGGGTTTTAGTCCCTGATCGTCCACTCGCTGGTGAGGGATTTGGGAGAAGTTGCTTTGCCTCTCTGGGTCTCAGTTTTCTCATATATTAAGGTGGGGATAGGGACTTCCCTGGTGGCGCAGTGGTTAAGAATCCACAATGCAGGAACCCCACAGACCTGGGTTTTAGTCCCTGATCGTCCACTCGCTGGTGAGGGATTTGGGAGAAGTTGCTTTGCCTCTCTGGGTCTCAGTTTTCTCATATATTAAGGTGGGGATAGGGACTTCCCTGGTGGCGCAGTGGTTAAGAATCCACCTGCCAATGCAGGAGACACGGGTTCGAGCCCTGGTCCGGGAAGACTCCACGTGCCACGAAGCAACTGAGCCCATGTGCCACAACTACTGAGCCTGCGCTCTAGAGCCCTCAAGCCACAACTACGTAGCCCCCGTGCTGCAACTACTGAAGCCCGTGTGCCTACAGCCCGTGCTCTGCAGCAAGAGAAGCCACTGCAACGAGAAGCCCGCGCACCGCAACAAAGAGTAGCCCCCTCTCGCTGCAACTAGAGAAAGCCCGCGTGCACCAACAAAGACCCAACGCAGCCAAAAAAAAATAAAATAAATAAATTTATTAAAACAAAAAAAAGGTGGGGATAACGTATGGTGGTGAAGAGGATGCAAGACTAGCCGGGAGTGCCTGGTGCAATAACTGGCAGCTACTGATATTAGAAGGATGTCAGTTACTATTCGGTTCCAGGGCTGGCACTAGCACTTTTGGCCTTGAGTTTGACGCATGCCTAGGTCTTGCCTCTCTGGTTGCAGCCAGGATGGCATGTTCTGAAGGCAGAGGGCCGTCTACTCCCTCAGACCAGTACCCCTGTCCCCTCCCAGCCCAGACAGTGACACCAGAGTAAGCCTCACCTGGCGGCCCCAGAGCTTGCGGAAGATCTGGAAATAGGCCACGGCCATGAGGCCTAGCGGGGCCAGGTAGGTGACAAGGAAGAAGCAGCTGTGGTAGATCCTGGGATAGAGGTCGTCTGCAGGGGCCAAGAGATGCACTAGTTGGGCGCAGTCTGGGAACCCCCAGCCTGCCCTGCTTAGCAATACCACCCTGCCATGACTAGGGCCAAAGTAAGCAGCTGGGCCCCATACAGGTGCCATGGCAGAGAGACCCTGGAGTTGCCCAGCTCAGTGGTCTCCATCCTGGAGGGACCCCTGGCAGATGTCTACACTAGAGGAGGTACCCACGCCAGAGGTATCCCTGCTAGATGCCTGCTCTAGGGCATCCTCCCAGGAGGTACCCACCCCTGGGTGCCCACCCCAAAAGTGCCCTGATAGATGTCTGCTCTGGGGGGGGTGTGCCCCGGAGGTGCCCACTTCAAGGACACCTGCCCAAAGGCTCCCGCCGTTACCTGCCCAGCGTTCATCACAGACAGAGAAGAGCCTGGTGCGGTTGGCTAGCTCGGGCAGCACACTGCTGCATTCCATGACAGCAGCCTGGGGCACCATGACAGCCAACGACACGACCCAGATGCCCAGGATGGAGCCACGGGCACGCCGGGCAGTGCTCTTGAACAGCAGGGGGTGGCAGATAGCATACCAGCGGTCCAGGGCGATGAAGCTGAGAGTCAGCACTGCCACTGACACAGACACGGCCTGCCCCATGGGGACACAATGTCAGTCCTTTTCGGGGCCACCCAGAGACATGGGGTGAGTGATGGAGCTCACAGCCCAGAAATACCAGGCAGCCAGGTGCAGTGCAAATCCTGACTCCGCCACTTACTACCTGTGTAGATTTGGGCAAATCACTCACCCTCTCTGAGCCTTGTATGCAGAATGGGAATGTATCATCCACCTGGCAGGATTCTTGTCAGAATAAATGAAATTATGGATGGAGAATGTCCATCTTGAGACCTGGCACATAGTAGGTGCTCCCCTACTATGAATAATAATTTACACTTTAGGAAATAACTACGTGCCGGACACTGTTCTCGTTATCCTCAGAACAACCCTTGAGGTGTGTCCTCTTATCCCCAAGGTACAAGTAAGGAAACTGAAGCAAGAAAGATTAAATAACTTGCCTAAGGTGGATTTCCTCACTTGCCTGTCTTTATTCTCAGGGTTGCCAGAGTTAATGGGTTGAGTGGGAAACCTCCAAATAATGGGAAATCCAAGAGGCATTTCTCTCTGCCCTGGGATCCCATCCCTTCCCCAGGCTGTGAGGAAAAAAGAGTCCTCATTCTGGGAGGCAGAGATGAACCTAGGCCGGAGACGCAGGGACACTGGCTCCAGGAGTGCCCCCTGCCCTCTGGGGTACAGGGAGAGGGTCGAGGGATGCAACCCTCTGGCCAGCTCTCCTTCCGGCCCAACAACCCTACGGGACAACCTGACACCCACCACTGGGAGAGGGAAGGCCCCGGCCAGGAGCAAAAGGGCCGGGGAGGAGACTGTTGCCAGCCCGCCACCTCAAAGCTGCCCCTTTGTGGTCAGGGAACAGGCCCATTCTCTGTCACGGTGGGCTTGCGCCTCTCTCCTGCACTGTGTGCCCGTGTACCTGGAAGTGACTGTACATGTGTCCGAACATGCCTCTGTGTATGTCTATGAGTGTGACCTGGAGGGTGTATCTCTGTATGAGTATATGGGGCTGTGTCTGTGTCTGTGTCCTTGAGTGTGGTGCCTGACGGCCTGCCCTTGCTAACAATAGAGCATGACACTGCCGAGGTACTGAGCCACGTCCTGTCTAAAAGGCAAGTTTGAGGGTCACTGAGACCTACGCAAGGCCATGGTTTTTGTACTTGGTATGACAGGGGGGTCATGAGGGGCACCCAGGCAAAGCTCACCTGTAGATAGGGGATGACCTTGCAGAGGGCATGGCCGAAGAGCCAGGATTCAGTAATGTCTACCAGCAAGCTAGCCGGCAGGCAGATGGCCGTCACCAGAACGTCGGCCAGGGACAGGTTGACGATGAAATAGTTGGTGACTGTCCTCATGTGGTGGTTCCGCCACACAGCCAGGCAGACTGCAGGGTGGGAGCGGGATGAGATGAGGCCGGTGGCAGAGCCACGCCCAGTCTAGCTGGGTCCCATCAGCGAGACACTTCCCCCACAGTACCCAGTAGGGACTGGGGGGAGGGGGAGAGAAGCAAGGCCCAATACCCCTCCCAGCCCCCGGGGGAAGCCCGAAGCACCACAGGGACCTAGAGACCTACCCAGCGTGTTGCCCACCAGGGCCACGAGGAACACAGCCACGTAGGCGGCGATGAGGACCCACTCGTACTGCTTCGGGTACAGATAGTCACGCCACAGATAGCGAAGAAACTCGTCTTCGTAGTCTGGAGGCACCGGGGACGGTTCCCCACTGTCAGTGGGGGCCCCCATCTGGGGCCCTGGGGTGGCCGAGGGCTCCATGAGCTCAGGAGCCACTACAGCTGATGGACGTCCCAGGCTCCCCCAAGGGAGGGGCGCCCCTGGGCCAGGCCTTAGCCCACTTCCCTCAGGGGACCCAGAGTCTTGCACTCAGGTGTTTGTGGTCTCAGCCTGAAACCTTCTGAAGGAAGGAAAAGGGAACATTAGGGAGAGTGCCAGGCAACTTGCAGATAAGCTTCCTCTTAATTCTGACAGTCATGTGGGTTATGGAGAGCCTGAAATCAATGGAGAAAGATCTGACTTGCATCCCAATTTCGTACCATTTGGGTAACTTACCTCACCCCTCTCAGCCTTGGTTTCCCCATCTATCCCGTGGAGTAATAACTGAACCGGCCTCACAGGGCCCCGCTGAGGAATAATGAGCTCTAATGAATGCCGAGTGCTTTACCAGAAACTGGCACCGGAAGCCGGTTTCACGGTCATTGCCGGTTACCACTATTAAGAGCCCCGCTTTGCAGAGGGGGAGATAGAAGCTCAGAGAGGTTGAGCCCCTTGCTCAAGGTCACAAAGCTGCTATTCCAGGTCTGTCTGAGTCCACCAAACACCACAGATTGGAGAGGGGAAGCCATCCTGATTTAAATGCTCTCTCCTGAGTCAGTTCACAGGCCTGAATTTTTGGTTGAAAAACTGGTCAGGGGAGGCTTTTAAAGACCCAGGCCCCGCCCACAAAACCTGCCAGACCCTCCCTGGTGTGGACACACACACGCACGCACACGCACACGTACACGCGCACACACACACACAGTGTGGGTAGAGGTGCAGGGAGGAACTGACAACCTCTCTGAAAGCGAGGGGAGAGCCCCAGGCACAGGAGCTGGGCCCGTCAGCCCCCAACCCCCGCTAGTCCCCCCTTGAATCCCCTGGCCGCGATGCGCCCCGGCGGCCGCCAGGGGTCGCTGGACCGGCGCGCGGGCCGCCCTCCATTCATAAATCCGGCCTCGCACCCCGCCCCTCCTCGCTCGCTCAGACCCGTCCTTCCCCCGGCTGAGAAGGGAGGACCCCGGACGTATGTAGGAGGGTTGCCGATCCCTGGAGACCCCCAGGGGAGTATGAGGGGTCTCCTTCACACCCCCAGCGGGCGCCGGCGGACCCGCTTCCTCAGCGGTACCTCCCTGCATCTCTGGGGCTGTGGGGGCTGCGGTGGGGGGAGCGAGGGCGCGAAGCGTTCTTTAGGAGCCTGCCTGCCGGGAGGAGGGCAGAGCATGCCGGGGACCCAGCCTCCCAGCACCCAGGTTATCTCCCGAGACTCTTGGCTCCCGCCGAGGGTCCTCTGGAGCCCCCCACCCCGAGCCCGGGGGTCCCCCAAGCCCCGCACCTGTTGGCTCCGGGACCCCGGCGCCCTCGGCTGCTGGTCCCCCGATCTTGCACCGGGACTTTGCCTCCCCGCCCCGAAGGCCGATCTCCAGGGACTAGGGTTGGAGGGGAGGGGGCCGGGGCAACCGCCTCCCAAGGATGCGCTGCCTGGGCTCGCTCGGCTGGGCGCGAGCGCTGGCTCCGACGCGGGCTGTGGCTGGGCGCGGGCTCCGCCAGGCTGCGCGCCGCGGAGCGGGGGGAGGCCAGGGCGGGAGGGGCAGGGAGGGGAGGGAGCCCCGGGCCGGTCTCGGCTGCAGGTCTCCCAACCCAGAGACCGGGAGGGAGATGCTCGTTCCTCCTCGCCCCAGACTTCAAGCGTCCATCCCACCTCCATTCAGGTTTCCATCCGTTCATTCACACCTTTCTCATTCATTCAACATTTCTGCCTCCGGCTACTCTGCTTTCAGAGCGCACCTACTGTGTGCCGGCGGGCCCCGGGCAGCTTCGAGGAGCCACAGTGCAGAGGTGGATCCCAGCTCCACCTCTCCCCGCTGCCTCACCTAGCTGATGAGGATGAGGGCGCAGGTGGGTCACTGCACCGCCTCCAGCCAGGCTCCGGCTGTTGCCGGAGCAGCTAGCTCCCAGCGATGCCAGAAGGCCCTGCTCGCCCTTCTCCCCAGCCTCCGATTCCATCTGCCCTCCAATCCTTTTTGTTCATACCTACTTTCCCCCCTCCCAAGACAGGGACGGTAGGTGGGGGCAGGAAGTGGGGGGAGCCAGAAGGGAAGGGCTGATGGATTCAACTAACATTTTCTGAGCTGTGTGCCAGGCAATGAGCTAGAATAATACAGCTGCCATTTGTACAGTCCCCACCATGTGCATGATCTCATTTAATCTTCACATCAACCCAGTGAGGCAGCTGTTATCATCCCCATTTCACAGATAAGGACCCTGGACTCACATGGTACAGTGACTTGCCCAAGGTCACACAGCAGTGGCCGAGATGGGATTCAAACCTGCACTCTTCTCCAGGTCTACCTTCCTCCCATGCCAGACAGAGGCTGGCTGGAGCCAGGTGGGCTCACAGCCAGGCAAGTCCTCTATAGAGCGAGGAGAGCTGCCAAGGGCCCCAGGAGCTGGGGGGCACAGAAGGACAGATTGATCCAACCAGGGGGTCAGGACAGGCGTCCTACGGCAGGAACACACCAGAGACCTAAAGAATGAGAAGGAAGCCCTGCAGCGGGTGATTCAAGGCAGAGGAAACAACAGGGGCAAAGGTGAGGAGGTTGGACCTTCCAGGAGTCACAAGTAGGTGAAGGGTGGCCTTCTGAGCATCAAGCCATCACCTTGGCTATTATCTGTCTCAGGACAGGACCTTCCTAAAACATCAGATTCACACTCCCCTCTGACCCTCGGAGAGTCACAGCCCTTCCCTCCTGGGAGATGACTCCTGAGATGGAACTTCCATCTTCCCTGTTGCAGCCAAAGCCTTTTTTCAAAGGAGCTAGAGATGTACCATTAGGCACAGAGTGTGTGGGAGGGAAGCTGGGGCAGCCCAGGGGACGGATCAGGGACCTCCTTCACCTGTCCAGGGTAGGAGGAAGGACTGAGGCTGGCCCTAGGGCAGAACCCTGTCCCTGGGTGGCATCCGCACAGTGAGTGATGGGTCAGAGCATCCTTGCAGTAACAACGCTCTGTCCTGCCTGCCCTAGGTGCTGGCAGAGGTAGGCGAATGGATCAGGGGACGTGTGTGTGTGTGTGTGTGTGTGTGTGAGAGAGAGAGAGAGAGAGAGAGAGAGAGAGAGAGAGAGAGAGAGATGGAGTTAGTGTCTATTTAGAAGTAAGGGCTGTGACTGTGTGTCTGGGGAATCCAGTGTGTTGCTGTGTGTGTGTTTGTGTCTCTGAGCCTGCATGTGGGTAGGGGACAGGCTCTAGGCTGATGACTGGGGGGCATCCTGGGTGGGATATGTCTGTATGGATCTTGATTTGTCTCTGTGTGTACTGGTGTTTGTGTCTATGAGGGATGTGTGTGTGTGTGTGTGTGTGTGTGTGTGTGTGTGTGTGTTGGGGGGTGTCTGTCTCGGTGTCTCTGGGTGTGTGACTGTGGCTTTGACTAGCATTGGCCTCCCAGTGTGTTCTTTTGTGAGTGTGGGAATGTGAGTGTGGTGTGCCTTTGCATCCATGGCTCTGCGACCAAGCGTGCGTGCGTGCGTGGAACTCAGTATGTCTGCCCCCACGGGGATGACTCATCTAATCCCCCACGTGAACCACCCCCCATCTAGAGCTGTGACTGTTTGCTAGGGGCTAGGGAGGGGGCTGCGGAACACACAGGGAGGGGAGGCACATAGCGTGGGACAGTCAAATGACAGCTGCAGCCTGTGATGTGAAAGGTACAGACCCCTCTGTGCCTGTGTGGGTGGCGGGCACCAGCTGAGCCCAGCACAGACCAGGCTTAGAACCCAGCCCAGAGCTCAGAGTGCCATGATTCAAGGCCTCCCAGACACCCTGCGTTGGAGTGATCAAGCGGCTTCCCAGGTGCCCCCAAGTCATTATAATGGGGGTGCACCTGTCTGTGTGGGAACGGAGTCAGACGGAGAATCCACCCCCACCCCCGCAAAGCCCAATGTCACAGAGCCAGTCCCGTCTCCCCTTAAGAGGGTTCCCACTCGCCAAACCCTCTCTTCATCCCTTGGTACCCCAGAGATGGCTGCTCCCCAGGACAAAGGATCCTGAGTGATTCCTCGTACCCCGAAGCAGCAGATATTTTTTCCTCCCCTATCAGACCCTGGCCAGGGAGGAGGCTCTGGGTCCCCAGGTCCTGAGTCTGGCTCTCTTAGCCACGGCCTGAGAGTAGGAGAAGCCAGTTATTTGTCCTCCGTGGGCATGGGGTAGAGACCCTGGTATGCCTGCTCAGAGAAAATCCTGGGGTCCCAAGGGGGCCAGTGATACTCCTGGAGACCCACAAGAAGCTGCAGTTGTTTGGTTTGGGAGCTCAACAGCACTGGACTCTGGGAGCTTCTGGCAAAGCATCTGTGCCCAGGAGAGGGACCCCAGTGACCTCATATCCTCCATCTCCAGGCTGGGCCCTCAGCCTGGCATCCCCTTCTCCCAGGGAGGGCCAGCCTGAAGCCTTTGCTTTGCCTGAGCTGAGGGTCAACCGAGACCACACAACCTCTTTCCTGGAACCAGCCAGCTCCAGCCTTGTTGATCTAATCCTGAGCCTCTGAGCTACAGGTCCCTGTCACATCCATCTTCAAGTGTCAGCCCCGGCACTGGCCCCAGGTGCTGCCTCCCACTCCCTTCCAATTCCATTGTGGCTTACAGTAACCTCTGTCTGGCCAGCACTAGAATAATCTAAATGTAATTGCGTTTTCAACTTGCTAACGCTGCCACAGGCCCAGGATGGGGATGGGAACACTCTAGGCAGGGGAGAGGTGCTTCTTAGAAGAACAGAGATCAGAAAACAAGCAGAAGTGTGGGGTGGGGCGAGGCGTGGGCCAGCAGTGACTGGGCTGTGAGCCCAGAAAGGGGGATACTGAGGGCTGAGTCCAGGCAAGCCACTGAGGCAACTGGGGTGTTTTGGTCCTTGGGCCCAACAGTACTGGCTTGTGGAAGTTCCTGACAAAGTGCCATGCCCACGGGATGGACTGAGGGACCTCATGTCCTCCATCTCCAGGCCAGGCACTCAGCTTTTATGCCCCTTGTCTTGGGGAGGGCTGGCCCTCCTTCAGGGTTTGAGTGGCTGGAAGGGAACCAACATCCACCAGGAGAATGAGGGGCCCAGGTCCCGAGGTCAGGCATCCTCGGTGGCTTCACAAGCTAGGGAGCATCTTCAAGCCAGAGGCAGGAGCTAGAGGGAAGGTGCTGGAGGCAGCAGTCTTTTGTTTGCTCCCTCACTCATACACCCACTCAGCAAACACTGGTGGCAGGTAGGTTGCAGAGCTGGGGTCCCTCCTGGTTAGGCTAGGGAGACCCCATGTAAACATGGGTAGGGGTGGGTATCAAATGCATTAGAGTGGGGTCCTGTAGAGTCAAGGCCAGGGGTAGGATGGGGCTGGGACCAACAACGGATAGTGCATGTGGACCCAAAGGAAAAACAAAGAAACCCCTCAGCCTGTTAAGCCTCGTGTTGAAAGAAGGTTTGGAGCACAGGCTTTGGAGCCAGAAAGAGTTAGAGTGGGTTAGAGTCCTGGCTCTGTCGCTTACTACTGTGTGATCTTGGACTAGTCACTTCACCTCTCTGGTGGGCTGGGTCATGGCCCTCAAAGATATCCATGTCCTAATCCCCAGAATCTATAAATACGTTACAAGGCAAAAGAGGCTTTGCAGATGGGACTAAGTTAAAGATCTTGAGTTGGAGAGAGTATCCTGAGTTAACCAGGTGGGCCCAATATAATCACAAGGTCCTTATAAGAAGGAGGCAAGAGGGCGAGGAAGAGAAGATGTGATGACAGAAGCAGAGGTTAGAGTGATGCCAATGCTGGAAGGGTCCACAAGCCTCTAGAAGGTGGAAAAGGTGAGGAACAGATTCTTTCCTAGAGCCTCCAGCAGGAACGCAGCCCTTCCAACTCCTTGACGTTAGCCTTATAAGACTCATTTTGGACTTCTAAGCTCCAGAAGCATAAGAGAAAAAAATCTGTGTTGTTTTAAGCCACTAAGTTTGTGGTAATCTGTTACAGCAGCAATAGGAAATAATAAACCTCTCTGTGCCTCATTTCACTGGTTATGAGACCAACAGGAACATTTACCATATAGAGTTGTGTAAGGATTCACTGCAAACAGGCAGCTGTGCAGAGCAGCAGGTGCTGGGCACCAGCAAGACAGACAACCACACGTTCATTCATATGATATTTTAAAAATAATTTAGTGTTTTTAAAAATCAGAGGGGTCTTCATGGGAAGAATCAGGACTTTGCCAGATATGCTTATCCCGTTATTTGGTATTGTTTTTATTTTCAGTCATGTATTGCTGCTGGAGGCTGTTAAAGATCCAATTCCTAAAATAATAAGTAATATTAGTAATAAACAATGATCATAGGAAATGTGTGCTGGTGTGGTTATTTCAACACAGGAACATACAAGGAGAAGCAAAAGAAGGA